CTGTAATAAGAATTGCTGTTTAATTTAAGTACATACTCGCTCATTCATAACAGTCTATCAAACGTCCACTACCAAATAGGCCTCCTCCGTGTCTATATGCTTAAAAGGGGGGTTTTGCCATAGTTGCCAGGCTTGGCAGGGAGGTAGTCAAGCGCAGTTCCTTTCAGTTGTTATAAGGAAGTTGATGCAGCTCATCAGCTGTTTCAGTTTTCCTATGTATCCTCTTACCACACCCACAGGTTAATATAGGGTAGTGGATAATCTTACGCCGCCTCTACTAAGAACACGTTGAGTTACTTATGCTAGATAAATGAAACATAAAGAAACGTCACTTCTAATCCAAGGTTGATTCTTCATTTATCCACCTCGTTCAACGCAGTGATGAAAATTTCTTCACGATTATAAATCTATGCTTAAAATTACAATCAAGAAATTAGTGTTAAACTCGATTCGATGAAGATCGAAGTATTTATTGCATTAAAACTGTTAAAATTTCATCCCTCCAACAAATGTGCATGATGTCACTGCCACCACTAAACTCAATAACTCTATCCCCAATACTATTACTTTCTACAATCATTGCTAATAATCATAATTAATTTTTACTACTTTATTATAATAGATGTTTTGTAGAATAAAGATGACAAGCGAGCACACAGTCCACCTGATGGTAAGTAAATGCTGTGGCTCATCAACATCTATATCTATCCCTAATTAAGAATCAAAATGCAGATGCATTATCTCCCACAGGACTAAGATGGAATGCTTCTTTACCAGTTAAAATGGGTCTCCGGTTGTTTTCACTCACCATACGAAACATAGCCTTATTCTGTTTCACGCTACTATTCTATGAGAGCCTAGTTCAACCCCGGTCTAGCCGACCCAATCGTCCTTCAGCCATAATATAGCTGCAGCGTGGCTCTACCACGTAAAAATGGTTTTTCACATAACAACGCCTGATTCTAAATATTTATTAGGTACGCTTATTTTAGTCGAATGTTCAGCCTGCTATATTAATACTAGTAATACAAGATATTAAAAAAATATACGTATTATGCGTTTTGCAATACGTTTATTAAATATTCATGATTACACCACACACCACAGACAATTCGGTTAACACAGTTCAGGTTATACTCGTACATAGAAAATACTGACCTTTTAACATAATGATTATACTGTACTGACACCAAAGCATACATTTTATTTTTTTATTTTTATCTTTAATCTATAATCTCTACATAAATTAAGACACGTTTCCCGTTTTATATGTTTTAATTTATACGTTAGCGATAAAAAAAATCAGTTCTTATAATTGTTGATTGATTTTAAAATTTTATAATTTAACATGATTTACTGTATTTTATTTTGTTAAATTTTTGAACTTCACTGTACACTCTAAATAAAAGCAAAGATTGTTGAAAATCATTTTTGTTAGAGATATCCAATTTCTGCTCTATTCTCTCTAATTTCTTCCTTATTTCGATAGTTTAAGGTTTGAAATCGAGAGCAAAATGACTTCTTGTTTACAGTACAAGATAATCTTTTCTAAAGCTTCTTATCGACTATCTCGATCGACGCTTACACTGTAATACTAAACTAAGCTGTATTATGCATTTACCGATGAATTATGCAACAAAGTACGGTAATAATGAGTAATTAACTATATAAGTTCAATCCAAATTTTTGTATCGTATTGGTGACCAACGAGCACACAGTCTACCTGATAGTACGTGTATGTTGTGGCCCATAGACATCTATGTATATTTATCCTCGATTAATAATTAAAATGCAGATGCATTCTCACTCTTAAAGACTAAGATGGAATGCCTTTTTTCCAGTAAAAAGGGTCTCCGGTTCTCTACAGTCACCGTACGAAACACAGCAGTATTAACCTGCTATTTTACACTGGTATTTTGTGAGAGCGTAGTCCTGCCACGGTCGAGCCGACCCATTCTTGCTTGTAGCAATATGTATAATATAGCTTCAGTTTGCTTAAGCTGCAATTTGCCCATTTCCGGAGGTGATATTTTGTACATGATTCATATGGAATGGAGGAGTGTGTTAGATTTCTATATCAAATCTTATAAAAAAAATTTATTACCCTATTAAACATATTCGTACTATAGGGTGAGAATTAAATCTAAACTATCGATTATATCTGCACAGATTAATTCATTGTTTGTTCTCTGTTCAAGGTAATATCATTTAGAAACGTCCGTTGGTTAAGAAAAATAACGAAATTTTTAATTGAATAATAAAGAGTTTTCGAATTGATTTTTTTATGTATTAATTAATTCTTTTCAATTTTTATTTATTAATACTTACATATACTACAGTTTAGTGTAAGTTTTTATCTTAAAAATATAAATAGTTTCATTTCTAATTCAAATTAGTGACCGACGTGTTAAATATTTGTATTTCCCTCAGTTTGAAATAAGGAGCGCTGTGTATATTTAAGTGACGCAAAAGCCTTGCAGAATTAAATCATGCTTATTGTAAGACCACCCACTTACGTACTCATACCCTTCTACAATCATTTGCAACCAACAACATGGTTTTACGTGTATATCCGTTCGTCCAGTTGTAAAAACTTCTACAAGATCATAAAAAAAGAAAGAAGAAAGATGTGTGCGAGTTCGTGTTAAGAAGTTGAGCATGGTCTATCTTTAATTTTTAGCACACTTAAAAAAGGGAGAGCTTCTCAATTCGAGTATATTCTTTTTTGTATGTATATGTATGTATGTATGTTATGTATTTTATTAAATAAGTTTTAATTTAAGAGTACCATACAAATTTGAAAAAAAAAAGAACTACTAATCGTGTAACTATTGGAAATGAACTTCTAATGTGACTATTAGACGACATTTAAGTTTTTGATATTCCTTAGCTCATTTAAAACGGTCAAAAAAGTAGAATTTTAATAAAATATTTAATAATTTCCGTATAATAGCTTCAGAAGTCGAGTTTTAATATTTTCATACACTGTGTGTTAACAATGACTTTTCAACTAGTTATTTATAATCGGCTTTTCCTTTTAAATTTTTAAATTTTTGCTTATCTTCACGCACAATCCCTGACGGGGTAGCCAGAGAAAACAGATCGCCAAGTGTCACGATCCTTACAAACCTCTTTCGCTTCTTTCAGATTCATTGTCTTCTTCATACATGCACGTCTAGGTATCCGAGTACTCTTGACCCTACCCTCTTCGATCAATTTGCTCACATGGTCTTCGAAAGTTGGTCTCGGTCTACCTCGACACCTTTTAATATTAACTTTCGCGCTATATATTTTCTTCACCATTCGGTCTTCACTCATTCGCTCAACGTGCCCAAACCACCGAAGCACGCCCTTATCAATTTTTGTGATAAGGTCATCTTTCAAACCTGCCATATTGCGAATCTCTTCGTTTCACTTTCGGTCGGCCATGGTAACGCCGCACATTTTACGAAGAGATCGCATCTCCACTGCATTCAACTTACTTTTATGCTTCTTCTGGCATACCCAGGTTTCGCTGCCATATAACAAAGTCGGTACCAACACTCCGTTATGTATTGCAAGGCGTGCACTCTTCGCTACGCCTTGCCTTTTGACTAACACAGTCAGGGCACCATTGACTTTGTTCCCGGCAGCGACACGCCTGTCCACATCTAAATCACATCTTCCATCCCGGCTAAAAGCACTCCCTAAGTATACAATTTCATTTACCTGTTCTAGACATTCCTGATTTACCCATATTTCACACTTCGTTCTCTCTTCGTCCCTTTCAAATACCAGAACCTTAGTTTTATTAGCATTCAAACGGAGACCTTTAATTTCACATTCCTCTTTCATACACGTGACTAATGCCTGCAGTTCTGCCTCTGATGGTGCAATAAGCACTGCATCATCAGCATACAGCAGACAATTTACTTTTATGTCACCCAATTTCACACCCAAACAGCTATCTTTCAGCTTCTGTAAACAGCTGTCGAGATACAGTATGAACAGCCAGGAAGACATGACACAACCCTGCTTTACGCCCGTTTGGACGTTAAACATGGGTGACAGGTCATGCCCTACCCGCACACAGGCTTTACAGTCACAGTAAAGAGACTGCACAGCCCTTAGCAATCGACCATCCAAACAAAAAAAAAACATTTGATTTAAATTTTTGGTCTGATGTATTTAGTTGTAAATTTATAGAGCCACGCTGCAGCTGTAATTATAGTTATAGCATAATGGATCGGCTCGACCAGGGGAAGGACCTCGCTCTCACAGAATACCAGCGTGAAATAGCAGGTTAATGCTGCTGTGTTTCGTATGGTGAGTGTAGGACACCGAAGACCCTTTTTACTTGTAACGAGACATTCCATCTTAGTTCTCAGGGTTAGAAAGAAACGCATCTGCGTTTTTATTCTTAATCGAGGATAGATGTAAAATGTCTATGGCCCACAGCATCCACTTACCATCAGGTGGGCTGTGTGCTTACCCTTATTCTACAAAAAAATATGCGCAAATTATCACCAAAACCCAGGAGACAATAACGCACTCGAAACACTATTTAAATAATGCTTGTAAATGAACTAAATGTTAAACAAACAGAGTGTTGTGCAAGTGTACGTTGTTATCGCGGGTTTTATCACACCAACGACTCTTATCTTTTAATGTGAGCCGTGGAACGTCCTTACGCCTACGCAATGTACTTTCTATACACAAAACGCAGTCCCGTCTATCAGTACTATTTTTCGCGCAGATGAGCTGCTCGCTACTGTGACCGTATACGTTATCTTATCGATAAAGAAACATCGATATTCTTTAGAATCACGCGCAACGTAGATTCGATTCTATTGGATTGGACCACTACTTATCTAATCTCATTTTGTTCAAGGAATGTGTTTGAAACATACTAATCGCGGGCTTGTGTGTTATGAAACGGAATTTATTACTCTTAATTTCTCGAAAGGTTTTTGAAATGTGAACGTCGTGTATTTGTGATAGTGCTTAGTGTAAATTAAGATATGCGAATTCCATCGGTCTCATGGTCCCAAACGACCGAATGTTTGAGGGAGAGCGCGTGGCAATGCTTCCACTGCGGGCTGGAGGCATGCCAAAAGCTGACCACCGCACACCATCTTCTTTCGCAACCCTACCCAACTTTGGATGTCATCGTAGCCGCCCCTACAATAGCTAAACACTGTTAGTATCAGTATTTTAATCTCAGTATTTTACATTTACTTATATTAACGCACGTACTCTGTAAATAATAAACTGTCGTGTTGAATAAAACAAAGAAATATTTTTATATAAGAAATCATTATGTAAACTGTCATGTTATGTTTATCAATAATAATTTTCCAAATAATGATTGTGCAACTATAAGTCTATACGTAGAAGTAATTCTTCTTTAATTTTAGTTTTCCATTTGAAGATTAAAATATTTGTCACCGCTTAATACGTTTATTCAAAACTAAGCGGTCTGTCGTTATTAAACTGTGCAAAGCTCTCCAAAAAGGTTTTTATATCGAAATGTAGTTATTGTTTTGGTAAAAAAAACATTATATAAAATAATAAATTATTAATACAATATGAGATCGTATTGGACTAAAATAAGATATTTTATTTCTATATAGGTTAGTAAAGCAGTTTCTTGTAAAATTTAACTATGGTTCATAAATTCCTATATCTTGTCAGTCCTGGGAAGTTGTATTTAGTCATCATCATCATCATCATAACTACAGACCAAGCAAAGTCTACTGCTTAGGGATTTTGCAATAGCTGCCACGCTTGGCAGACAACGGCAGTTTTGCTGTACATCTCCAGCTTCATTTACCTCTGCCGCCTCATACGACAACTACGGCATGATATTATGTGGTAGTAGTGGAATATTTTACGTACATAGTTTTGCTATGGGGACACGCGACTGACACTGAAATTATATAGGGCCATAAGATCAATCTATGATTTAAAATCTATAAAGTCGCTCCGACAAAAATTTAAGGATATTAACATATTTACTTTGACCTCTCAATACATTTATGAAAATGAAATGTACATACACAAAAATAAAAGTAGTTATACATTAATAAGTAGTATTCATTCTGTAAATACTAGGAACAGACACAAGCTAGTAGTACCAGTTACTCCACTCCACCGAGGCAGTAATTCATTCTTGCCTTTATTATATTCTATTCTAGCCTTTACAACAAAATCCCAGAAAATATACCAAATTTGACGTGCTTAATGTTCAAAAACTTTATTTAACAAAGTTTGTATAAAAAGGGTTATTATAATATGAAGAAATTTGTAGATGATAATAACCCCTGGGAATGAGGTGATCGCTACCAAGCTATTTCTAATTGGTTTTGTGTGGTTAATTGAATAACGTACATGATTTTAAGCTGTTCTTTAAAAAAATAGTCCCGCTGGGTTTGTTGCTGGTTCTTCCCAGGACAGAGGTTTTTTTTCGAACCAGTGGTAATTAATAAACAAAAGAGTGACTTTCAATAAGTATCATTTATAATCTATATTAAATTAAAAAAATTCTGTTTCTATAATTTTTATGTTCATTTAAAATATTTATATATTTTTGATAGACATTGTACATATTGCGAAAACTTCAAGCCCTTGGTCGTCAATCTGTTGCAGTTTTGCTTTGTTTTGACTAACTCATATACATCATGTACATGTCTCATATGATGCATTCATTTTTTTCTTTGTATTATATTGTTAAAGCGACATTGACCCCCGAATAAACAACTATATCTGTAGAGTCCAAAAACTGGTACTAACTATTATTAATGTTCTAATTAAAGCTTACTATGCTCTTATGTATATAAGTTATTTTCCTATATATACATAATATGGAGAAACCAAATTACATGATTGATTTCTTATGAGAAGAAGTCTCCCTCGAGAAGATTCTTCACAGTTTAACTTATGCTTTGCTCTTATAGCTCAGTTATGCAACCTAGCCTTGTGGCATAAATATAATGCAATTATTTGTTACAATAATACATCATATTCAATGCCGTTCGAATCTGGAACATAAATCTCACCTTATATATTACTGGCTGGTACCCGGCGCGTTGCAGCCGCTGAAGAAATAATGGTGCGAATATTGTTTTAAATTTGGAAGAGTTAAACTATTGATAATACATTCATTGAAGTTGAATGATATATAACTTTCAAAGAAATTTGTCCATAAGATACGCGCGCCACCTAGTGTAAGTTAATTGTACAATGCCTATAACCTTCGTGCAAGTGCAAGCAATAAGTTGACAAAGTTTTACCGCAATCTGGTCAACATTATGGCAGCACAGCCGGGTACCAGCAACGCGCCGGGTACCAGCTAACCCGGCGCTTTGCTGCCGCCAAGTTTTTAGTGTTATCTGATGAACGGTATGGCTGCGCATAAAATACAAACAAATGAAAATTAATCTTTATATATATGAGATTAGTACAATAAATCATAACGCGTAATATTTCACGATTTAGAAATAGTAATTCGCTCTATACGTAATAATATAATTTCTAACCATAACAAAAGTTATCTCTGTATATTCGGGGGGGGGGAGGGGGCTAGTAACCTGTAATACGGGTCTTTGAACCTACACGGGCACCAGTCTCCCACGAATGACATAATATTGTTAAATAGAGATGCAATACTAATGTAACTTCCATGTCCTTTGTGGTAAGAAATAAATCAATTGTTATTATTATTTTAATTAAAAACTCACAGGCGAGCCTCATTTGCATCCTAATTAAATTTTAAAATACAATCGCTTAATAACACAGTAATAGGAAATATATGCTCTAAAAATGTTCACGTAAGTTCTGTATCACGTATAAGTTAAAACGACATGTGAATATAAATCGAGTTTTTACGTTTACCAGCGAGATGGAAAATATAATACATGTCATATGAATGTAAGTGGATCTAGTTATGAATAAAATTTCACTAAATTTATTTTGGTATGGGATTGGTTTAGTAAGGATAGAACTTTTTGGATCTGGATATTTTATACCAGGTTTCTATTTGACTTTGTACTTTGTATAAACGTCAACTTGTAGCTTGAGACCTGGTCTTCAGTTGCGCAGCAGATAATTTTCAGGCCTGCAGTGTGTTGGTTATTTGATCGCGGGGAAGAGAAGAGCCCTATTCGTGTTTATTTTATAGAATAAGGAAATAATCGAGCGCATAGTCTATCTGATGATGAGTGGATGCTGTGATCGAAAGACACCCATACCTAACCTCGATTAATAACCAAAATATAGATGCGTTATCACCTCTGAAGACTAAAACAGTATGCCTCTTTATTAGTAAAAAACGGTTTCTATTCTCTACACGCGCGATAGACAGCATTAATCTTAATGCTACTGCAATATTAATCTGCTATTTTACGCCGGTATTTTGTGCGTGCGTGGTCCTGCCCCTGTTGAGCCAACGCTATGTTACGCTATATATGGTTGCCATAACATAGCTGTAGCGTGTCTCTATCACGTAAATAAAAGTAATAGTAACTTAGTTGTGCAGAAAGCAAATTCACCTCTCCGATATTATCGTAAACTTCCTAGCAAAGCTAATGCCTGATCGGCTTTCAGCTATCAGCTACATCACCACTTATGATGTAGCTGAAGATAGTAAAGCTTACGGGCTTAGTTTAAAAATGTGTATTCATCCTTACCTTGACGACATTGTAATTGGATACAAAAATAGACGCTGACAAACTCCCCTTTGTACATTCGAACAATAAAGCAAGCCGATTGGTTGATTAAAAGCTGTTGGGACCAGAAAATAATTGTAAAATTTTATATATTTTTATTCATGTTGTCATAGTTTGAGACCATTACTAAAATTTTCAGACAAAAATAATATACCTAGTATTGCCTTTTTCAACGAAAACATTTATGTTTTAAAATCTAAATGAATATCTGTTTGTTATTTGTCTTCTATGTGTCCATCTATTATTCATCCGATTACAATGAAACTTTTTTTAGTTGTGTGCGCGCCTGCGGCTATTCCTGTAAAATGTTTTTGTTTGTTCGTCTTCTATGCATTTCTATACCATTCATCCTTTTACGATGTAACTTTGGTGAGTTATTTTACGCGCGCCTGTAAACTTTTCTGACAAAAAGAGGCATTACAATTCAAACCGGGCACTGCTAGTGAAAAATATATGTAAATAATGAAAATTAAAATACGACGGAAACGTGCACTTAATTATGAAGAGCGTTAAATATCACGTTCAACCGGCGCGTATTTAGCAAATGAGGCAATGGCGGAACGACCGAGCGAGGTGATTGCGAATTGCGAGATTTAACGAATTTCATACAAATTAACGGCACGTGGTTAATACATTCGTTGATTAATCCAAATAATTATGTTTACTTTGCTTTCGTTGCCTGCGGAATGATGGCGTTACAAAATCAGTTTCAGAGGTATTTGCAATATATAAATTAGAACTATTGTATTTATGCTAGTGTTATGTGTTAGAGCCATGCTGCAGCTACATTATGGTTGTAGCATGAATGGATCGGCTCGATCGGGGAAGGACCACACCCTCACAGAATATCGGCGTAATGTGTTGTATGGTGAATGTATTTTGGGGTGACAACGCATTCTTCATTTAGGGTGGGCTCTGTGCTCATATGTCAGTCTTATTCCATAAAAAAAAAAAACTTGATAGAACTGAACGCCTTTTTCAGCAAGATTCGCATTCAAAATTACGTTAGAGCGTAAAAGTTAAATTATTATCACTATTTTAAAAGTGTAATTATTATAGTATCCTTTTATCGTAATAAGCGTCATGCACGACAGTATGTATTTACATTTAATACCTTACATTTTATAACGGTTTTAATTGCTTTCTAACTAACTCGCGGCTGCCAACGATTCGTAAAGTTAAATCGGAAATGGAATTGTAGAAGTTACAAAACAATCCTCCATATGGCGCCATCAGTCTGCCCAGTTTGTGCTCATTTCGTTTATTATTTATTTACGGTTCGTACGAATTTTTCGGCCATTATTTAATCACATTAGTTAAGGTAGCGTAAACAGTACTAATGTTGGCACTCCTTCAATGATTGGCACTTTGCTATTTTAATCTGAATATTAAGAATGTTTTCCTTTTTCTATATCACAGCTACACAGATATTGCTAAGATATATAATTACTTATACTAACAATATACATTTAT